TAGGGAAGTGAGAAGAAACAATCCCCGATAAATACCCGGATGAGGAAAGGCACGTCAAGCAACTTTGCAAATTTCAACGAGTCAATATGCCCGAATCTGACGCGGGGCCTCGCTTGGTTTGCCGGCGTATCACAACGAGGCATCCTTTGAAAGGTTTTCAAACGAGGCCAACATCAAATCAGCCGCTTGGCTTCCTACTCCCCAGCCTCCCTGTGTGCATGTATCATTTTCAGGTGGGTTTCAAGGCCGCAACTTTGGGGTCCCCTTGGCACCGCAAACACGTACTCACTCCCACTCTAAAAACAGCCACTGTGCCTGACCTGCCATCCCCAACATGGACCCGGCTGAAAACGCCCAACCTGTAGTTTCAACCTGCCACGGCTGCTAAAACTCGCTTTAGTTTTCCTGGAAAGGGTCGGAGCGGATGGTTGATTGAACCCATGAAGGCCTCATCATGATCCAACTCTCCAGGGAAATCACTGCAACCAACATGGCAGAATACTCTCCGCGGTTCTGGCAGAATACTCTCCGCGGATTTGGTCGGAGCCTGACATTCAAGATTGTTACAAGAGGGCAAATGGGAGAACACCTTCTGAACAACCAAACCACAAATCCAAACCACCAAACAGAGGGAAAATGACTACCCGATTCACTTTAATAGGAGGCTCAAGTGAGGTAGAAGAACCACCCACTGAAATGGCCCACAAACAAAAGCGGCGATTTGGGTGCTTAGAGCCAAATTCCTCAGCTTCCCGGCTGTTGCACTGGCAGGGTCGCCAGCTGGCGCGTAATGAACGTGCGCGACTCGACGGCCCGAGTGGTGGTTTGAGAATTCAGAAAAACCAAAGGACAAAGCCATTTTGTGCAAGCAAACAAAAGGGTAAGTACAGCAAATAACTTTGCAAGCACAAAAGATTTCCCAAGGATCTCCGCAGATAACAGAGGTAAGTACAGCTGAAAACATGAGTCACCAACCACTTGGAGTTGGTCTCTGCCTCACACTAACGATAGCTGCTCAGCCCAAACCCCTTCCAGCAAAAAGAGCCCTTCAACCAGTTTGTGGGAAACATTGAGAGGCTAACTTTTGGAACGGATGAAGTTTGGAAAGGCTCTTGCACAGGTGAAAAATGTCAAGTGTTGTTCAAATAAAAAGAATCCAAGGGTAAAAAGGCAATGAGGCCCGCCATGTCCCCCCTTTTCTTGCAAAAGACAAAAAATGAAGAGGAAGCAACCCGCTGGGGCAGTGGGGTGGGACCCATTTTCGATGCATTCCGTGAGGCCTCACGTAGGCTTCTCCGCAATGATAGTCCCGGCAACCTGAGCGTCAACCGCTCCACACCCAAACCCAAGCTACCCCCAAGTCAAGTGGGAAATATATGCGTAGCCGTTCTATACGAGTTCTGCGGTTGTGCTTCATTTTCCTCTGGAGGTGAGTCGGGAGTAGTGGGAACCCTCTTAAATAGAAGCGGTGAATGCTTCCCATGTGCCCGATCCATTTCCTGTTGGCATATCGGGCGTATGCTCCCATGGCGTCTACCTCTTGCTGAAGCTCCTGGATTGGTGAGAAAACCATCACAACGGGTTCCCGAAAATTGGATCTTTGGACGGACCTGAAAGGACAAAGAACCATCGAAACCATCCGTGGGGGCAACCAATGTAGACACTTACTTTGCGAGCAGGTACCAGTACCATCCCACCAGCCAGGAAGCGCGGTTCGTGCTCTTGCATCCTTGAATTTCTGTGGGCGCCCGGAAAGTGGAAACACGCTACTGGAGATCCGTCCTGGCGATAGGGCCCATCCCCCACAAGTTCTGAAAACCAACCTTACTCGCAACAGATGTAGCCCCCGTCCCCTTTCCCTCAGCGACACCCTCCAAACGCCCCACGGCTCTCCACACCTGTGGCGTCAAAAAACCCAACTGCCGAGTTGCTGCCTCTGGACCTGGGCGCGGTGACCGATTTCGTGTGATTCGCGCCCACTGATTCACGGCGCGAGCGCATCAAGGGGCGATCCCCGTGTTTGCCTTCTGGTCGAAAGAAAAGCTCAAGCTTCTGTTGGCTGAGCTTCCTCGAAAGTGCACACTGGATGATTTCAGACGTACATGATTTAAAAAAACGGAGGGCGGGGACGTGTGTGTGGGCTTGATGCGGCACCTTTCTCGTCAGGTCTCTGGAAAGGGGAGACGTCAATGAAGCAAACACGTTTCTGCCAAATTGTTCGTTGGTCATTCGTTTGTTGACCTCAATGACTTGGCCCCTAAAACGGTCCTTCTGTCGCCAGCTCTCACTTCTCCAGTGTGTGGATGTTCTGCGTGGGAAGACCATGGTGGTGAGAAAGCATCTTTTACTCTGCCCACAGGACTCCAAATATATGAACAACAAGTTCTAACCTTTCGGGTCAGAGGCATTCGAAGGACGGCAAGCTGATTGAATTGGTAACCCTCAGTACTTGGCGAAATCGGCCTTTCGGCCCTGGGGGCCCAACCACCATTACAAAAAAAGTTGGGTTCCCATAAGCGGCATTATTTTACCCAAGGATTGTCATCCAAGTCGGGTCCTTGCCATTCTTTTAATGGGAATCGGTTGAAACCTAGGCAAAAAGACACCTCAATTCCTCAAAAGTCGATTCGCTTTGGGCTTCCCTGGCGACAGCTGTCGCTCTGGAGCCGGCTCCGTATGAGCCTGTCGCTGGGTCAAGGGCTGAAAAAAAGGGCGCTGAAGGCGGAGAGGGAAACCGCCCACCATCTAATTTTGTTGGTTCCCGCTTTTGAAAGGGAACTAACCAACTAACAACTCTCAAAATCCAAACAAACAAATGACCGCCGGTCACTTCACGGTTCGTCAGTTTCGGTACATTGCCATGGTGAATAAGTGCCCCCCTTTGTGGGCGTACAAAAGTGGTCGTTAAATGTTCAATCCGAGGGCGGGTCACATCCTGGTCAGCAGCACGTGTCTGCCATACGACGGGGCAATAACATTCATGCAGAAGTTGGAAAAGTGCTAAACGCCTTACGCGGATGTCTTAAAATTGCATTTGTGGTGGCAGATGTCATTTTGAATGAATTATCTGGTTGTGCCCCGATTAATTCTCATATCAGCAGTGGTGACATTAGGTGAACAATACTGACCCTACACATAGTTGCTCGAAACACGCTTTCACAAGGCAGAAGCCCCGACCCCCAGTTTTAAGCGGCGTCTGCGTAATCATTCAAAAGGGACCGAAGGGCTCGGAAAGTGGGCCCCTGAAAAATGAGGAAAAGATGCCCCAATACCAAGTGAACACCCTTGCCGTTTGGGCATTGAGCTTCAGAGCAACCCTCTTTTAGGCATGGAACAAAAAATCAATCCAAAAACACGCCTTTAGAGGCACCGGCACCATGATCCACCCTTTCGGATGGGGTTGTCATCCGGGCATGAATGCCCGAAACTTTGAGAAAAAGGCCATATACATTTGAACAAAGGCGGGCATCGTTTTTGCCACCCAAGCATGGCACCATTTTTGTCTATAGCGCTAGTCCACAACTACAAATTGTTTGCAACCCCGTTTTCTTGCGGACGGAGTCCCAGGGCAAAAGTTGCACACGTGGATTAGCCTGCGCCTGTGGTATCAAACAAATTCAGCAAGCGTACAGACTGATCAATGACACAAAACCGCTTTCAATGATTCATGGGCATCGTTTGCTCATGTCATCAAGTCGTAGTGGACCCCCTGCGCTGCAAAAAACAACATTGCATCAATCAAGACAATTCAGTTTTAAGCACATTGATGCCTCAGTGATTTGCACCTTACTTCAAAGCCAGTGCCAAGGTATTTGGTGGATCCATGCGCAAATACCTCATCATGGCATGTCAGCATGCCCTGATGCTGACTCAGCCTAAAGTAGTGTCTTGGCATGACATGTCGTTATGTTGTTTTCATTCTTGGCACTGTGTATACAGCACTGCAACCCACACACACACATGTCATTGTCAGGCGCACGCCCATGATTTGAACCAAGCGTGCCCCCACTACATGCAGCCATTGTTAGGAGACCTTTTGCCACTACTGGGGCACTCTTGCACGCTTACTTTGGCCTAAACTGCATCTGTGTTTGGCGCCCAAAAAATATTTGGCCCAAAGTGCATCCGTATTTGGCTCAAATAACGATCTCAAAAATACTGGGGGCTTGGCTGGGCCGACATTCCACAACAGCGTTCTTCTTGGTTTCCTGATGCATAAAGGGCATCAGGAATCGTTGTCAGGTAGTACGTCACAGCTGGGATGATCTCATCCAAGAGGGGCATGACCTGGGACTGCTCCTCTGGCATCTGCGGCTCATCTGGAAGTCCAACAAAGGTTGTGCAGGTCGACGCCACGCAGCGGGGTTTGGGCCAGGGTAACGGTCATACAGCGTGTCGTACCCGGCACAGGCAGCTGGTACTTTTGCTGACGGTCCTTGAACTCCAGGCAGGAACGACAACTTCATGCCGCAGCACGTCTGCTCCGTACCCCGCAACAAAAGAAGGTCACTCCAAAGAGCTGGCAAAATTTGTAGTGGGGACCCTTGCCAGCCACTTGGGTGATGGGGCCGACAAACGGGAGCTGCAGCTGGGTGGAAGGGGCTGATTATGTTGGACCACTCAGCAACAGGTGTGTTTCAGACACGCCTCATTGCATGGAAAACGCAAATCAACCGTGGGGAATCGTTGGAAAGGTGGAAACAGTGGCAGCAAGCCAGCCGGCGAGTTCAGGCCAACTAAAACAAGGCTGGCAGCAGCTTCGCGCCATCTTGCGACAGCAAATTCAGAGTAAAAAATACTACAGTTGCAATCAAGCAGCTGGCGGAGGCGTGTCATTGCCCCAAGCCACAAGCGCAAGCTGGGCGCCGCAGCCAGCAAAGATTACCATGAATGAGCCTCTGGCTTCATGCTGGTGCTTCATGCATCTCATGCCGAGCATTGCCAACACCTGACTTGGATGCGACCGATCAGTTGCCCTCCATAAGTCCAATGGCAAGTTGATGTAACAGTTGTTCCCTGCCACCCCCCCCCCCCCCCACAAGAAAAATCCGATCAGCCCAGGTGGCTGGGAAAACAAATCAGGTGGACTCAGCAGTAATTTGGGGGCGGGGGGGTCTGGTGATGCAAAGTCCTTTGCTGGTGGCTGGGGTTGTGGAGGGGGCAGGTGTTAACAAACGGCCCAGGGTGGACTCAAACCATCAGCGGGTAACTGATAATGTTTCAAATCACCAAAGTATTCCCCTCACCCATCAGGCGGCCCTGTTGCACAAGGTAGGTGTGCAAGGGTGCCCAAGAAAGGGGGAGTTGCAGCGATAAATATGTATATATATATATATCCAGTATACCCATACATTGCCAAGTATGCAAAAGGACACAGTGACATGGCATGCCGAGACACTAATTGAGAGCTGAGTCAACATTAGCACATGCTGACATGCTATGATGAGGTATTGCTGAAATCACCAGACACAAATGAATCCACCAAATACCTTGGCACTGGCTTTTCACCATAGTTTAATCTTTACGGACCACCAACAAGAGACTTGATCCGGAGAAGCTGGCGGAGAATGTGATTCGCGAATCCCGAATCCCGCATCCTGAAGGACCAGAGGCGGCCTTCCAAGTCCCGAATCGATTCGAATCCCGAATCCCGAAAATGTGATTTCATCCCGAAATGTGATTCAAACCCAAATCACGAAATTGGGAGCGACCTCCGCATCGCCACTAACAAAGACTCCACAGCACGTCCCTGGGCAAGCTCATCGGCCAAAGTGTCCCTTGATGTGCGGGGCTTTCTGCCACGCCTCCTTCTGTTGGCACTTCTGGTAGAAGTCGATGCCTGCGCGAAATATGCACATCCAAATGCCATCAAACTTCCAACCCCGGATACTGGTTGACGACTCCGTTTAGCAAGTGGCATCTTACCCCTGCTTCACAAGTCCCCTGAGCGGGACTACCCCTAGCCTGAGTTTTCAACCGCTGAGAAGGGGCCGGTCATTTAACTATTTGCCCAGAATAAGGCCGGTGTCTTACTTCGGCAACTGCACATGTCGAAGGAACAACTCGAGACAATATGATGGCTCCGAGAACAAACATCCTTGCACCAATTGCCAAACTCCATAATGATTGATGACTATCCCCGGTGGCCTCCAGGAAAGGGGCGTTTTGAGCATGACACGTGTGCACGCCTCCGTTGTTGGGTTTCTTCCAGGGAAGCGGGGCCACTGTGTCTTTGCACCTCAAACCTCAAATGGGAAGGGGTGGCAGGGTACCTCAGTTCACTTTTCTATTATTCTCAAATACAGGGAAATCGAGCATACTCTTTGTGGCTCTAGCTTTAAACGATGATTGCTTGTTCTCTAAGGAAAGTATAACAAATGTCACCCATGCCATGTTTTCAACCTCAAGTGCATTGATAATTTACAAGGGCTTCATTGAACACTATAGTCTCACGTTGTAAGGCGGCCCTTCCAACCCTCGGAGCGAAAACCACTTCCAGCTGAAGAGGGTATGCACCCATGTTGATGCCCCCCTCCCCAAATCGAACAGCGCATTTCAATACAGGGTCACTTGGCCACTGTGTTTTGTTCAGCTGGTCACAACAAACAAACAAAGAAACAAGCCAGCAAGCCAGCCAGCCAGCCAGAATGCCGGCAAGCAAGCAAGTTAGCAACCATAAAGCACACAACTTCACCAAAGCCCCAAACGCTCGAGCCCCCCACTCGCTTCGAACTAGGCTCACGGCAGCAATTCTCGTACTTGCCACAGAGGCCTCGGATGCGGCAGCGTTGAGTACACCTCACCCTCACATGACAATCGCTTTCATTGCCATGCCCAGCCATGGCAAAAATAGCGCACCTTGGGCGACGAATGGCAAACAAATCGTGAAAAGGAGCGGAATTTGCGCCTGGAGTCATACCTCATGACTCACTGCATTGTTCAGAGTCTAGACTCTGACTGAGGGGGCGTCCAAGCGCATGAACTCTTCCCCCCTTTCGCGCACATGCAAACACACTGTTTGAATTCAAGTGGCCATGTTTATGGCACCCCAAGGTGGGGTAGGCCATTCTTTGTTGATTCCCCGAGGGTGTTGAGGAAAAAGAACAGTAAACAACATGTGTTGAGTTCCCCTACTCAACATGCAAACAAACATATATATATATATATACATATGTATGTATACATGTGGCAAGCAACAAAGCACCTGGTTGAGCGTCACCACTGCTGCTGGGCGGCTGTTGCATTGGCAATCTTGCCACCTGCCAGCAGTCCCAGGAAAGCGCCACAAACATCCCCCCTACCTTCAGGAGGAGGGGGGTGGGGGGTCCCCATTTCCATTTATCTAGTCTTCCCCATAAAAAGTAAAATGGAACCACAAATGGAATTCCAGAGGTTACCCCCCATTCCCAATTCCATTTTTAAGGGGGTGGGGATCCACAGACAACCTTTCGAGCCATTTATGCAACAGCACATGATGTATTCAAACAAGCGGGTCACATTTCCATAATATGTGATATTGTGTTTCTGTGAAGAAACATTTTGCTTCTAGACACGGGGATGACAATGTGCAGAGTGCACGTCACGAAGTTCTGGCTTGTCTGAGCTTGCAATTGCAATGCAGGAAACTCTGGGAACAAGATCGAGTCAAGGGTATTGGCAGGTGTTGGTTTTGGAGGCATAGAGCGTTGATATCTATATATATATGGCACCCCCCGCTAAAAAAAAAACTGCATGTTTCAAGGTTTGTTCGAGCAGCATGTTACATGTTGGCCTCCCTCACAAAACATAGCCAAGAACAGCTAAACACCGCAAAAACTATCAAGTCTGGATCTCAGGGAAGGGGGAGAACCACATATGCATCTGGACAACACAGGCCTATAAGAATCCGTCTGGGCAAATTCATACTTGCAGACAGATTGATCCAATGTGAATGTCATGTCTTGCTGTTGCCATTTGTTTATGCTTCTATTTCTAAAAGTTTCAAGATGTCAAACGATTCTTTTCTTGAAGTATCAAATGTTGAATCCCATATATATATATATACACCAAAAAGCAATCTGGCAACAGCAAAACATGACAGTGGAAGAGTGGAACTGTTGCGCAACATTGGCGCAATATTTGGCAAAACAACCGATAACAACACAACCAGTAAACCGAACACACAAAACCATAAAACCACAGAACCATTCCTACCCCCACCACGGTTGAACAGTTGTTTCTCATGTTTGTGTTGTTGTTTGGTGTTCTGGTCTGAATATTGCCCAGTATTTCACACATGTTGTGCATCATTTTGTGTGAAATCAAGATTCCCAATATTTGCTCTGTGCAATCTCGAATCTTGGGTCTGGCCCAAAAAAGGTGTATGCGTTTCCAGTTCCTTTGTGCAAGTTCGATCTAGTATGAGTGAGGGGAAAAACGACATGCACGGCGCAGCTTGACCTTTCTTACTGCTCTTATTTTGAACAGTTGTGTTTGTTTTTGTTTCTTTTAACTGAAGTGCCAATTCAGGAATGGAGGAAAAAGACGCGTGGGCAATTGGGGAATCTTGAATCCCATTTACCTCAACGTGGCTTTGAGTCACGCCTCTCAAGATTCAAGAGTCTGAACCAATATTGCTGGGAAATCTTGAACCTCAAACCACGGCCAAATGCATTTTTAGTAGGCTTTGGGAGGGAAGCATATATATCTATATATATCTATATCTATATACACATGCCACTCGTAAGTTCTTTGGATAGACGGACATATGATGCCTTGTAAACATGACCTCGTGGCATGCAAGCCGCAGTACCTGCCAACACCCATACCTGAAAAGTCAAGTTGCAGATGTACACAGTCCGCGACGCAGTCGTGCCTGACATATCCTTCAGTGCAGCCGAAGCTTGCACAACCTAGGACCACCAGGTACCAGTAGGGCAACAGTAGGAAGAGCACATGTCACTGGATGTTCGCAAACAAAACAATTACAAGGAACTGGCTGTTCACCAGCCTTGTGGTCCCATTTAAGTTACCGGAGTTCAAGTGGTTGGCACTGAGAAAAGTGATACAACATTGTAGCAGCATCCCCAACTGGGTGCATGGAAGTGGGCGACCGAACAAATACTCAGGTTCTGTCAAGCAAATTCCACAAGAGCAGATTTGATTTGTAAACGTGCTGCTGAAAAAGCAAGGCTTCAGAGTTTTTGAGAACCCTTGGTTGACGTTGGAAGGGGAGCAAAAATAAATAAATCTTAGCAGCTAAGTGGTAACCACTAAACCACAATAAACCCGGGAACCTCGCCCCTGGAAGCCGGCCGACGGACGGGTTGCACGTCTCCCGCAAAAATGCCGCCAAAGGGAAAAGCTGCAAATTCTATGCTGGTTGGCGAAATCTGCTCCCCTAAAAGTCTGATCAACTTGTAGTGGTTTGAAGGAAAACGGAAAACCCATTCGTTGGCAAAGGCTTAAAGTCCATCCAAGCAAAATGCACCAAAGTATGGTCCTGAACCCTCAAACTTCCAACTGAAAAATGGGTTTGACCCCCAAAGTTATGGTTGGTGATATCCCATCTTTGTGGGTTCGAGGGTCCAGGGTTGAAAGCTGCCTCCCGAGATTCGCCCAAGAAGGCACCTTGAGACGCACGCTGAAACCCAAGGGAATCCTTGCCCGACTGGCGCAGCGCTCGGGAATGAGAACCTAAGAATCCCCGTTTGGCATCTCTTGAAAGAACTCATATCAGCCGGTGACTCACCAGTTCCCCTTCAAACCAACGCACACAAAAAGATGGAACAACAGGGGCCGAATGCAAATGAAGGCCTCTCATCGAATCTGACACTGAGCCGCTTTGGTGTAAAAGGGACTTCCTAAAACAAACTCCTGACATGGCCGTGGCTCCAAAAAACGGGACCAAAACGGCACCCGGGCAAGTGGAAACATGGACTAAACCTCCTGCTCAATTTTGAGCCACAGCCACATGCTGACTTCTTTCCAAACACCAAGAAGCCTCTGCTCCAAAGGCGGCGAATTGGACCTTGCCCCCACCCACTAACAGTGGAATACAGTGGATGGAAATTTAGATCAACCACTATTTAAATGGTCTTCCAAATTGTGGTGACTGTTAGTGTTTGGGGGCAAGCCTCTGGTCCAAAGGCGCCGAAACTCTCTGAGCCGAGCGGCTTCCTGTTGAGAGAGTCTTTACTTTCGACCTCGCCGGGCGGCCGCTTGGAACGCGAAAGGCCACGCATCAGAGCTTTGGACATCTGACTCAGAGCATGGCCTTTTTGGGGAAAAATGAGTAGCAATGGGAAATGGAATACACCCAATCTAAACAAGAACCAGTTTATGTCCAAACAAAGCTAAAAAGAACGTCATTGCAGCCTTCCTATGTCTCCCCTTCTCCTTCTGGCTCTCAACCAATATTTCACGAGAAAGCAAACCGGCTGTGTACCTGTCGCATACTTCGCGGACAAGACTGAACACAAAAAGAAGTCTGCCTCAAGGGCACCTATGGTGCCCAATTCCAAAGATGTTCTCCGTTCTTTCCAGGGATCCTGCTTTTCAGGAAACCATCAAAACCCAGGGAAACAGCCGGTTTTTGAAAAGAAGGATGATTGAAAAGAATGGAAAAGGACTCAACCATTAGAATTTTACAGAATCACCCTTCGTTCTTTTCAACCGAACATCCGTTTGCTTCCATTGGCTCTTTACCAAAGGCGCACGCCGTCAGCCTTCCAATCCCCTTAAGGCGGCCTATGAGAGTTGGGGATTGTGGCCCTTAACGCCGTCTAAGTCACGGCCAAAGGAACGGTTCAGCCCCTTTTTTACTCAAACATCAACACGACTCCTAAGAAACCCCGCAAGCTCAAGACTTAAACATTGAAACTGATCTGGGCAAACTACTAGATTTCACAAATTGGAAACACGAAGTCTCCAAGGACATGCATGGGCCAGTTCGCCATAAATTGCCCAGAACTAGTGCACTCCTTGTAAGAAAATAGCAATGGATGACTTCGCTATGGGAAGTCACCAAGTGGTTGGTGCAAACTAAGCAACATGGTTCTGACGTCCTCCATCGGGTCGAACGGGTCCCTTTCTGGCCATATGCTATGGTTGCAACGTGCCCCCAAACTGTTCCAAAGGGTCCATGTGGGAACATTCATACCCAAACTTGTTCCCAACCACCTTTGAGGTATGTCGAAGATGTCGCTCAATGGATTCAATCAGCTGAAGGAACCCTCTCACAAACTGTGGTTTGGGAGGGGTGCGGGTCGTCATGAACTGCTGGATCATTCATGGCCCCTCGCTGTTCCACGATTTCACTCGCTTGTGGCCCAAATAGCATTCTTTGGAGCCAAGTGAAGAACGCCGTACAAAGATCATATACATTATGTGTGCATCTTCCATTCACAACCATGTCCTTCGATGCATAAACCCATCGCCAATTCAGCAAACTCAAAAATGGAAAGCGTCCAGCTGCAGTCAAGGCACTGCAAAGCCTGAGCTGGCGTTCTCAAGGACTTTTTGCGCGTCTTAGCTATGGCGTCATGGCATGACGGGAATGGGTGTATCTTTGCTGAAGGTACCGGTACTTTTTTGGGATTGCTTTGCAGGAGCCTTTTGAGGGTGTCTTAAACAGAAACCAAAAGGAAGCCACTTATTTTGAGGGCTCCCAAACAACAAACAAACTCGGATGGGATGTCGAAAACGCGGTGTCACTGGCACAGGCCAAACACTTCTCACCAAGGTCAGTGGGGTCCGAATCCGTCCAGAAAATCACGGACAACACACGCGAGGGTGTCTCACTCGGACCCCCAAACCCATGGCTTCCCCGCGGTTTCCGTTTATAATCAACCCACACTCTCACTTGGGGCACCGGCAGATTTGTAAAACAAACAATGGTGAAACACTGGAAACAGACACCCGTGAAAAGTTCCATCAGGTAAAACGGCAAGAACAAAATGTGCCTGATGCTGAGTGGGAATGAGCAAAGCGTCGATCCTTTCCTGCCGTTTGCGTTTTGCCCCCTGGAAAATATGAAAATATGTCGTGATAGGTCCCTCTAAGACCAAAAAGGGAAAACACATATTCTTAAGGGAAAGGTCAAGGGCTGGGTTGCAGGAGGTCTTAGCACCCAATCATGGTAATTTAAACAGGTAAGGTGACAATTCTGTGTAGACACGGGTATATCTCTAACTCGGAGGACCCCAAGAATGGTGGGTTTCCTTTTGGTTTCCCTGGGTACTCTAAAAAAAAACAAAAACGCACAGCCAGAAGGACGTTAAGGCCCGGAGTCTAAGCTTTTGGTTTGCCCAAAGCCAAAATCAGCTGAAAATGAGCCAGGGATGCTTGGCTTAGGTCCGCTTGGCATGAGGGGTACCACCTGCTTGACTTAAAGCGAGACTCGGTCCAAACCCCAAACCATATCCTGGAACTGGGGGGAGACGCGACACGAAATCAGATGCTCGCTCTCAGGCCCGGGATGTCCCCAGAAAGCCCATGGGTTGTTGCTATAGGCTTGGCCAACCAAAGACCCACGGAAGCCGGAAAAATAATTGCGGAAGCGCCCATACCAAATGCTTCAGGAAATGGGAGCTTGGCCTCAAGTATCTTATCTTGGCCAAAATATGTACAATCCCATGAAGCCCCCCAAAAAAAAACAGTAAACCCCAAACGAAGAAACAAACACATACTTTTGCAGGCGATCCCCAGTTTTGTGGGTAAGCAGAAGAGATGACTAAACCATGTGGGAACGGTGTCCGCCATCTACTTTCTCTCCACTGTAACTGCAAGCCAAGCAGCACTGAGGGAGCACTCGGAGTTCGTGCCGTTGATGCACCTCAGGCAAGCGGTATACCTCACCACTCCGGCCACTAAAGAACAAGGTGCAGGACTCTTGGGGTTGCATTTTGTCCATTCTGTTCAAACCCCCTCCGGGGTTTTGGTGGTTTGAGCAACCCTCAACTGAGGTGAATGCATGCTCCGAGCTAGCGCGTGCGTGAGAGTGACAACTATGTTTGTAGGCGAATCAACTGTGACGCTAAGCGATTGCTTCCCATGACTGATCTGAAACCAACCTTTTAGGCAACTTCCACTTGGTGAAGGCCCCTGCAAAAAATCAAACTATTTCCAGTAGTGATGAATTCCTTTCTAAACCAACAAGGGAAAATAATAATTATATATATATATATATTCTTAAGCAAATGGAGGGCAATGTCGAAGGACCAGCCCAAGTCTGCGGCGGGTCATCTCCGCTGAGGGCTCGTTCAACTTCATCGTTGCCGGATGATAGCGCGCAGCCAGCCAAGCACCTTGGATCACGAAAAAACCCAAAGCTTGGTGTGGCTAAAGATGTGACATGCCAACCATCCAACAACAAATTATGATTCAACGCATTTGCAAGCACATGCCTTCCCCCAACAAACCAGGGAAGTATCATAGAAGCTAGATACAGGAAATCTAGAGTCTGCGTAGATTTGGCCAAAGTCCAACCAAAACAAGAGATGTTGGTGGGTGATTTCCCAAAGAACTTGGTGTAGGTGGCTTCTTAGATGGATCACGCCATGTGCAAAAGAGTTGCGTGCTTGAATTTTGGCAATTCAACCCCCCTAAGATACAGTGACCCCGCCAACACAAAGGAACCTTCATCATCGGTCAGGTCGCACACAACCTTTGCGAGGCCACCATAATTTGCCCAGTCCAAGACCCAGCTGAAAACCTCATGATTCCAAGGCGTGGCAGGCACCAGCCAGCTTGGGAATCTAATGTTGACCACGGACTACTCAGATCATCAACCTGGCGGATGATGAGGTGGGTGTGCGTCCCCCTCAAAATTTTTGGACACCTTGTTTCATCAAACAGCTTAATTCATCTGAGTTCAGCATCCAACATCCATCACTTCATCCAAAACTGCCAGGTCGCCAAGCTTCATTTCAATATCCCCCCTATCTTCAGGAGGAGGGGGGTGGGCGGTCCCCAATTCCATTTATCTAGTCTTCCCCATAAAAAAGGGAAAATGGAACCACAAAAGGAATTCCAGGGGTCACCCCCCTTCCCCAATTCCATTTTTAAGGGGGGGGATATTTCAATCCGACGGTGTCACTCGGGAAAGTAGCTCCGAACGACTCTGAACTGTTTGCTCCCTTTCCCTAAAATCATTGACGTGGGTGCGTCTCCAAATTGACCTGGGTGTTCCTCCCTCCAAAAGAGATACGCAAGAAGACGAGACCCAAGTCAGCCAGCCGAGTCGAAGGTTTGGAAGCCGACAGTTCGAATCCAAACCTAGGCCCAAGGATTGCCTTTCCCAACAGCGCACACTCCAGCTGCACGAATTATGCATCAGGGTGAATTTGCGCATGTGGGCCACTGCAGTTGAACATGAGAACAAACACGCAAACACCCACCCAGCCACCCAGCCAGCCACCTGACGCCAAGATGCAGGCAAAGCCAAAGCTGGCGCATCGTGACGCTTTTTGCCTGGGATGGGCAGGGGATCATGATTCTCCTGTCTCACATCTGTCTCCATGAAGTACTTGGCCAGAATGCTGAGAACAGTCACCATACCTAGGCTTCCTTTAAAAGGATCCACTGGAAAGGGGGAACCTCTTCGGCCAAAGCCACCTCACATGAAAGCTTGTTGCAAAACCCGAGGGGCCTTTCACTTCGTGTCTGAATTACAGGGACAAGAACAAATACTGACTGAGAAGTGAATTCCTCCAAATTGCAAACCGATGGGATTTGCCCCCTCAGCTTCGTTTCCTACCAAAGGGCATATCTGATTAGAACGGTCTCTAGCGGCCCAGCGGCTCCCCTTTTGCGTATGAGCTTGAGTTCGCTGTGAACCCTGGGGCCCCGCGCAAAAAGAGCAGCCCTTCGCACCTTCGCGAGCGCTGCCTGACATGTGTCAAGCTGGCCCTTGAAGGGGCCCAAGGCCGCAGAACGTTGACCAGCGAAACATGGAACCTGACTGGTCGTGGAAGACTGTGTGCCTCTTCAAGGGAGCTTCCGAGTTCCAGGTTAGGCAGGAGGACAGTAACCCTGGCAATAAGCCATCCCCTAGGCGGGGTAGAATTAGGATTCCTATCCTTGAGCAGCTTTTGATCCAAATAGGTTTCCGACACAGAAGCCTGCAAAAACTTTGAGATGTCCCAAACTGAGCCGCCGTGGTGTTCCTATATACACAGTTCTGAGGGCTCCAAAACCGTGCGGATTGCAAGTGAATCACATAAGATCGGGTGATTTGCGGCAGATTGCATGGTCTCCAACTGTTTTCCCTACTTGAAACATTTGTGGAATCAACCGTACCCGTTGTTTTCAGGGAGGTTCTGTTGTACTGTGGGAAAAGGCTCACAAAACAGAGCGCTTCCCCATACAATTATGCACCTTGTGAAGCAAGTAGGGGAATGAGGGAAACTCTGTAATTTTAAACTGCATGCTGTTTTCCAGAGAGTTCTGGTTGGTTGTGGTTGGTTGATTTGCAAGTTTTGCGGAATCTATCGCATGGCGGATTTTTAAAGCAAACGATCCAGGAAATGCACACTTTCTGCCACATGCACTCAGTTGTCCGAAAGCAGCATTGCTATTGTTGTTGGTGTCACTTTTTTGACATGGCCAGCCTCAAAATGTTAAACATTCATTGCCAGATTCTGTTGGGCAAGTGAAGCCCCTCATTTCGCCTTGTTTTGCCTGAACAAGGGCCAACGCCCTGGACAATGCACGTCAGTGAAGGATTGCAAACAGTCAGCTTTCCCTCAATTGGTGGTATGGATTGGTGGTCCTCTTAAAACCACATGGGGAAGGTAGCCCCTAACGTCCACACCACCAAACCAAACCACCAGCTAGGGGCTGCCTGAAACAAGCGTTTGTTAGGCGGTCCCATCTCAAGGTGTGTACCTGCCATTCGGATTTGAGAACTCGACCCGCTCAATCGAAGGTAGACCGAAAAACCAAAGGAAACCGTCGACCAATGATCGGGGGAGAAATGACAAGCGAAATGATGGGGGGATCAACCTTTTGTGGATGTGATGTTTCTTGTCAATGGTAGGTGTCCCTGGGTTGAATGGCGAATCATCACTTTTGGAGAGATTTTGAAGGGGAACACTCCCAATTAATAAACCGGGGTTGATTAATATGGGGTCAACATTAAATTCGGCACGCAAAGGAAACACCTACCCAAAACTTGTGGAGGGGAACAGCCCCTGTTAACAAATCCGCGGTTGATCAATATGGGGTCAACATTAAATACGGCACGCACAGGGAAACACCTATCAACAAACTTGTGGAGGGCAATACCCCCCCAAAAAAAATAAAGCGCAGTTGCTTAAAGAGGGGTCAACATTAAATCCGGCACGCAAAGGAAACACCTATCAATAAACTTGTGGAGGGGAACACCCCCTATTTATATAAAGCGCAGTTGATGAAAGAGGGGTCAACATTAAATCCGGCATGCGAAGGAAACACCTATCAATAGACTTGTGGAGGGGAACACCCCCTATTAATAAAGCGCAGTTGATTAAAGAGGGGTCAACATTAAATCCGGCACGCAAAGGAAACACCTATCAATAAACTTGTGGAGGGCAATACCCCCCAAACATAATAAAGCGCAGTTGCTTAAAGAGGGGTCAACATTAAATCCGGCACGCAAAGGAAACACCTATCAATAAACTTGTGGAGGGGAACACCCCCTATTTATATAAAGCGCAGTTGATGAAAGAGGGGTCAACATTAAATCCGGCATGCAAAGGAAACACCTATCAATAAACTTGTGGAGGGGAACACCCCCTATTAATAAAGCGCAGTTGATTAAAGAGGGGTCAACATTAAATCCGGCACGCAAAGGAAACACCTATCAATAAACTTGTGGAGGGCAATACCCCCCAAAAATAATAAAGCGCAGTTGCTTAAAGAGGGGTCAACATTAAATCCGGCACGCAAAGGAAACACCTATCAATAAACTTGTGGAGGGCAATACCGCCGCAAAAATAATAAAGCGCAGTTGATTGAAGAGGGGTCAACATTAAATCCGGCACGCAAACGAAACACCTATGAATAAATTTGTGGAGGGGAACACCCCCTATTAATAAAGCGCAGTTGATTAAAGAGGGGTCAACATTAAATCCGACACGCAAAAGACACACCTATCAATAAACTTGTGGAGGGGAACACCCCCTATTAATAAAGCGCAGTTGATTAAAGAGGGGTCAACATTAAATCCGGCACGCAAAGGAAACACCTATCAATAAGCTTGATTAAAGAGGGGTCAACATTAAATCCGGCACGCAAAGGACACACCTATCAATAAACTCGTGGAGGGCAATACCCCAAAAATAATAAAGCGCAGTTGATTAAAGAGGGGTCAACATTAAATCCGGCACGCACAGGGAAACACCTATCAATAAACTTGTGGAGGGCAATACCCCCCAAACATAATAAAGCGCAGTTGATTAAAGAGGGGCCGGACAAGTGAGCCCGTTGCTCATAGCCAACCTCCCGCGCACAGCCTCGCCTTAAGAGAGAAGCCAGCTCTGCAGGTTGAGCCCAACAGCGGCAGGCACCCTCTGTGCATCCGAAAAAAGCCCAGAGATTCCACGAGTTGACCATCATGTTGAGAGGTCACACCAAAAAATGAGAGCTAGGGAAGCCGTATATGTTTCTACAGGTAGATTCCGATGCCCATTCTTTTCAACCGTCATTATTTGCAAAACCCAGCCCTTTTTACCTGCTTTTGTTCGAAATACGCTGGAAAGAAGGATCCATGGAAAGAATGGGCATTTCCCGGTCGTGCCCATTTCCCTTTAAGTCCACTAAACAACAACCATCTTCAGCAAATGGAAGCATGGCTTCAACAGTTCTGCTTGCGCCGCTTTGTTTGCTCGCCCTGCTAAAGGGAAGCTTTATCAATGACAATAGTGGCTCTTGAAAAAACTCGAAACGTGTCAAGCCTCAGAAAGAGGACATGTAAGGACCCGGTTGGTGTCGGGCTAGGTCCTGTAGGGGCCTTTGTTCCTGTCAAGTTTCTATCGACAAAGCTTTGAGCCCTGATAAGATCCCATTAACCAGCTTATGCCCATCTTCATTACCGAAGTATTCATGATCTGGCCGTGGGTCAAAAATATGTACCCAAAATGGAACCCTGGTAAATGGAAACAAGGACTAAAACCCGCGGTCCTCTGGTGGATTCATTCTGACCCATACTTATCTGTTCCTTGTGTCTATCTGTCTTGAGCGCCTAATCAGTCCTGGTCACGTCGCAGTTTGGCTCAAGCAGCTTTTGGCTCTTCTCTCCTTTTTCTCGAGATAGATCTCATCTATCTCTTCTCTCCTTTCCCTCGGGATAGATCTTTCCTCATGTCACCCTGCCCGTCCGTTCCCCGAGTCGCATCGGCCCGTTTCACTCTTCGGGCTCAATGGCAGAACGGGGCCGGGCCAAGTGTGCCGTCAGCAGGGCCTCGCGATGAAAGCGCCCGCGTTTCAAGACATACGCGGCCGTGAAAGGGCGATGAACGGAACGGCGCCCAATTTTTCTGATACCAAGATCGAGTTGGGAAACTACATGCCCTTGAGCCAACCTAGAAATACCTAGAAACAAAAAACCACAGCCTGCCCCTTTTTGCCCTGTTGGTGCATTTACAGCAAACCACGAAACAACAAATATGTACCGTGTGGTAACGATGCTCAGAACCCACCGTCGGATGCCCAACGCCGCCTGAACCACGTGGATAGGACCCAAAGGATCTGCGTCAAGACCGGGGCCTATTCGAAGGCCCAATGCAGATTTGCACACCCCAACATGGTGATGTTCCATGGAAAGCTTGGTTGACCATGGTCACAAGGCCTCCGAAACGTCCAAAACAGGCCAAAAGCACAACACGTGTCTCAAGGCTCGGAAAAATGTTTATAAGAGAAGAAGCTAGAAACGCACGAGCGCAAAGCCTGGACCGCCTCGTCCCCTGCCATACATGTCCCAAGCATGGCGCTGGAAACCGGAATCTCTGGGAAGACAGCCCTACACCATCGCGCTCTACAGGAGAGATGTGCGCGCGGTTTTTGCTTTTTCAGGATACCCTCTTTGGGCTTGGTTTGGAAGTAAACCAGAAACCACACATTTCAGGCTCGAGTTCCCACACTTTTAGACAACTATCATTTTCTGCAGTCTCTGATTTGGTGAGTTCGCCAGGAAGGTAGGCAGATATGCCACATCAATTCCCTGTATGAAACTAATTGATATATAGGCTCCATACCTCCAAGCCCATACCAGGATTAAGCATGAATAAGGCATATTCAGGCTTGATTTTGAAGATAGTCAGTTCCGGCCCAAAAAGACTCTGACAAAGGGGTTCTGATCGCTTGCCTCTCGCCTGCGCGATTTCGCAACTTGATGAACACCATTCAACAGGCCAATCTGCATCCCGGATTTGCATGAACCCCTTGTGTCCTGTGCCTCATTCATTGAACAAAAAAATACGGCGACCCATCGTATATATATATATACATACTATCAATACAAACATGTTGTTTCGCAAAAAGCGTGCTGTCTCGTTGGAAATTATGGTTTTTAACCCAACTGCAGGAAAAAAAAACCGCCGGGAAGCCACAGGTACGTGTTTTTGGTCGGGGGGTTGGGTGTCGGTTCCATGCAGCAGCATAGGTGGCCTGTTGGCAAAATAGATGGGTTTCATTTTGGTAAATGGAATACACCCGAAAAGGACATTTCGGCCTCCAGCGCCTCCTCTAGCGCAGCTCCGCCAGCGCCCGCGTCCGCGAGCGCCCGCGCCGAGGCGTCCGCCCCACCGAGGCGGCGAGGAAGCGGAGGACGGGGGCAAAGTCCACCTGGGTCAAGGTGGGGGGGGGGGGTGGGGGGGTGGTGGGGGGTTAGGGGGAGGGTTGAGGGGGGGAGGGTGGGGTGGGTGGGTTTGAGGCCTTGTTGGGGGCAGCTCATGTTGGCTTATACTCTTGATGGGCCCGGCATGTTTGAACCAATTTGCCCAAGGGCCGGCGCCCTGAGGAAGCGGAGGTAAGGAAAGTCCCGGTCGAGGGGTCCCATGATGCTTTGGGTAGTCAAACCTCAATGAACACAACCCAATCGACCAGAGAGTCCGTGTCCATGTTTATAATGTTTTGCTGCAAAAAATGGTTGGCTCTTAATCTTAGTGCTCCTATGGGACGGTCCCAAGTTTTTGAATCAAGGTCCCTTTCCCATGGAGGCTCAAAGGAATCCGACCCGCGGAGCTGTGACGATGTTGTTCCGAGAGGAAAGTGACTGGGGAGGGCAGGGATGGGCAATAGGTTTCAGGATCAGCCATAAAATCTCGGGGATAACTTGCCTGCCAGAAGAATCTGGCCCCATCCCTTAAGTTGGTCCAAAAGGTTGGCGTTTAAAAACAGCAAAAGGCGAAGAATAGGTAACCCTGACGCACGGCGACTTCATCGGCACCTGGTCTGCCGAGGTGTGCTCGAGTCCCCGTTGTCTGGCAACCTGGGTGGTGTAGAAAGGGTCCAACAAAATCAAACAATCACCCAATCATTGTTGGTGCTCGTTGAGAAAAAAACACAGAATTTGAAGGTGGGAAAGTCAATCAACTACCCATCCCTCTTTAATGTTTTGTGTGTGTTTTTCCGCCAGAATTGAACAAACCGGGCAACAAGACAAGCAAATTATGAAGGTCTGCAAACATCTACAAACATGACGCGACTGCCCCATCCCCGTTTGGTTTCGCTTTGCGCCACAAAATCAGCAAAGACATGGTTGCTATCTTCCAGCTGGCCACGTGTTGAGCCCAGGCAGCGCGGAGATGGCGTCGTGGAAGTGGCAAAGGTGGAGATGGCGATGTGCAGGCACTCCTTGGGATCTCATCCGACTTTGGCAAAGGTGCTGATCTCCTGGCTGCGGGTCAAAAATGGGTACCCAAAATGGGTTTCCCTGGTAAATGGAACCAAGGACTAAAACCTGTGGTTTTGTGGTGGTTGAATTTTGACCCACACCCTCCTGAGTGCCAGTGGACCAAACAACTAGGTCTTCTAGTAGAGAGGGGTACCCGATGTTTTTTCTGTTTGTTTTTTTGTGGGGAAACCCTCCCCCCAAACAAGGTACAGGGCACCAGTGGGGGACCTAGACAATTTGTTAGTTTGTCACTCAAAAGGATCTCCTAAACAAAATCCGGCGCCAGGAAAACTGAGATCGCTGGAACGCCTTCCATCACCCGGGCGTCGCCGGCTTCGGGCCGACGATTTTTTGGCCGACGAGTTCCTTGCAGTCGCTTCGAGCCAAAGGAAGCCTCGCGTCAAAGTCCACGAGGTCACCAGCCGAGTATCCGCACAATCCCGGTGTCAAAACAGGGTTCTAGAAAGATGAGCGACAACTACCAAGCATCTGTGCCTTTTTGACAGAATGAGCCCAACCTCAACTTGTTGTGTTCACCTTGAGTTTACTTGGAAAGCCCTTGCACAGTTCAAGCTCCCTATCCCAACTGCCAACTAAGGGTTATCTCAACATGGCTGTCAACACCCTGCAAAAATACTTCCCCCGGTTTTGCCTTTCGCTTGGTCTTTTAGGGATCTCTATTGGAAAAAACCCTTTCGAGGTCCAGATTGTTAGGATCAAATATATCTGAAGCTTGTTGTCTGACACAGCATGCCACCTTTGGGAAAGTCCCCTAGAGCGGTGCGATATTAGTCTTTTCTGTTCTGGACATACTACCCATGTGCAAGCCGTAGACCAAGGGCGAAAAAGAAAAAACACCTGGTAGAATACAATCCTGCGCACTGGCTCGGAACAAGAGTCGTTTTTCAGACCAGGCAGTTGATTGCACAAATGGGCTAATGTCCCTTTATACAGCCCTAGAATTAAAGCCAGCCGCTCGATTTGGGGACAAAACCGTTTCTGGCTTGCTTGCCAAAGCTACTCATAATCATACGGGCTCACCGCACACTACCCAAAGAGGTCGTCCTCATCGATGATGGTTATCTCATCCTGGCGTTGAAATCGGTCGGAGATGATTCGGCTTTCCTAGTTCAAAGCAATGAAAAGTGAACACGAGGGGTGCTCCCTTCCCTTTCACTCACCTCTTGGGTGTTTGTGCGCGCACTTTGATAGGCCAAATTCTGGGGCATTAAAGTTGCAACGCGGACACATGGTTGGACGTCTCTGACTTGGGGGGTTTTCCCGAGCCCCACACATTTTCTTCTGACCCATACGTGGTGAACCAAACAATGAATGCCAACCCATTAGCCACTTAACCTCAGATGCCCAGTGGCCATGGGAAAAGAAAGGCCTCCTTTTTTGGTTGGTTGACTTTCAAGCGGACGTCTTCCCCCAAAAAAGGACAGAAGGGCGCCACCAGGGCAACGGAGTAGCCATTCAACCTCTCAAACAGAGAGCGGCGACCTAGGCCTCAGCATAGGTGTCCTGTTGGGGGAAATAGATGGCACTGGTAGATGATTAAACCACCAGGTAAACCGGGAATCGCCATCTATTTTTTGAGCAAAGCAATCAAAAAGGACACCTATGGGCACATACTGTGGATGGAC